CATTTCCACCACTCAGCCCAGTTTGACCTGACCTCCCGACGGGGGGGGTGGGGGCTGCTCGGTGATGGGAATGAGATTGAGGGTGTGTGTGAGAGCTTCCACTTGTGGTGTATTCCATATAGTAGACTGGCACTAATGGTCGAATCAACTTATTACGGCATCGGAGGTGTTCGTCTGGGATTTCTCGGGAGCGACGGGTTGGGATGGGGAAGGTTCGTCTCTCATGTGGTCTGATCACGTACTCTCTGATCATGAGGTCGAGAAGGATCTGGAATTTAGAGAGAGAAAACAGAGTTGGGGCCGCGGGAAGGATCCACCATTGTGCAGGGAAGACACAGATGGGCCACGATCGACGGCAGGGTCGTTAAGTGCGGGACAGGGGAAAATAAGTGGTGCAAGAGAAAGAGAGAGAGGGTGAGTGTGTAGGTGATATGACACAGTCATGTTGCGTTGGGGAGAAAAAAATATTTCTCGCAGCCCGCGTATCGAGGAACAGCTAAGTAGGTCTGGTGTGGTGTTACTGGCCGGTACGCTGTAACGAATGTAGGCCTGAATGGAGCCGAATGAGCGGGCGAGTCGTTTGGTTCACGGAGTCAGGATCGCGATGTGATACTTTGCGCCGAGACCGCGACAGCGTGGGATAGCTTCATGTTTTAGAATGATCAATCGAGACTGTACATCTCCACAGGAACTCTAGGCTCTACATCACGACCTCTCACATGGCTGAGGTCTAATGGTGCAACCACGCGAGGCAATGGTTGGTTAGACGGGCAATGTAACCGCGTAGAGTTTATTCCTTCAAAGGGAACACCAGCCCTCCATCTGCAAATAAGTTCAAGGAGGGGGGGCGCTTATCCTGGGCTGATGTAGGTAGGCAGGCAGGTAGATCTGAAACCTCAGGCCAATTGACAGGCTCGCCGGTGTGATGTGATGCAGCTCGTCCTACCTATGATGAGGTTCTTCCGTTTACACAGTAGTCATCGGTACGGGTGCAGTCGTGGGATTTTCCCGATGGTTCCGAGCGTCTGCCGGGTGGGCTCCGGCCGGGGCCCCCGGAGCGCAAGGTCCTTTAGCTCCCACATCAGGTGAGTTGATATTTCAGGGATTCAAAATCAAGTATCAGCGGCCATTACGTCAATACACTCGTCTCTCATTCTTCGAATTTCCCTGTCTCCATCCGATGCCGGAACTATGTATGTGGGAGGTGAGCGTTTGCAAGGATTTGGCTGTTGTTGGTTCCAGGTGGGGAACGGCGAAAGACGAACGGGGTGTCTGTGCATGCCGGCATTTGCTTCTTTGCCAGTCTCTAGATCCCAGCAATGCTCTGGTCCATAGAACTTCGTTTAATCGTCCTAGAGCACGGCTTCCGCAGAACGATACACGTCAGCTAAGTTGATAACGAATCAACAGTGCATTCGCAGCTCAGAAATATTGACGTTGTGATGTCGTATGTGGCTCATGGTCAACGAAAGCTGACACTTTTTCTATGTGTTGGTTCATTTGATGGGTGACGGATGGCCATCGACGGAGTGTACGGTATACTTGCTTGGTCTAGAACCCCAAAAGCCTTTGACTCCGTGATACTTCACCTCAGGTACACCTCTGAGTACGGACATATGCTGTGACACCTTTCGGTGTAAGCGGCTCTGGCGCTCACATAACCTCAACGTATTCTGACTCCACACTCGGTCCATCCTTCCCCACAGCATACCATGTCATTGCCTATCCTCCTCGATCAAGGAGACAAGCTAGAAAGGAAAACAAATAGACTACCCACTAGTCTCATCAAGTACCAGGGTGCTTCCCGGCAGCCCTGGGAGCGGACCTCTCGACTGCCACTTCCTCGGCGCATGCGGGTGACATCCTGACTAAACCTTGCTTCGACTTGGCTGACTTCAAGACAAGGTCTCCTGACCGGAGGATTTTGTTGTTTCGAAGATGTTTCCTGCGATTCCCGACATCGACGGAACCTTCCATGGTTCGGTCACTGTGACTGTCCCGCCCGTCCCATCCGGCCGTGTCCATCACTGTTCGTTGGCCGGGAGGGGAGTACGGGTCACTCCGGCATCTGCGCTGCAAGTCTTTCACATCGCCAAGTTCCACTTGTCGGCGGGCTCGGACTTGGAGGTAGCATCAGTCACACAACGTTGAAGCCGTGATTGCACATTATGGAACCGTCGAGTGGCATCTTACCGTCAATTTTTCGGGGAGTGGGCAGTTGGAAACAGAGATATAAGACTCCCCTTCCATCCCTCTTTAGCAACTTCATCTCCCTCACACCATCACAGGCATTAAGCTTACAATATCTATCAACAGGCTTCCGCGGCTTGTGTAACATCAAACTGATTACAGTATTTTACTCTACTGACGCATTCTTTGCGAAACACTTATCACTACCAACTCTCGATCACAGCAAAACGACACTATGGGCTTGATCCTGCAGCGAGCCAACGAGGCACTCGACATCAATCTCACCCCGGGAATTGAGGAGCAACTAAGTGTCAACGGCTCCAACTGGCTATGGACTTGTGTAGCCATCTACTCTTTCTTCTTCGTACGTATGCCCTACTAAAAATCTCCTTTATCATCTTCCTTCTGACCTCCATCATCAGCTTGGCGTCTTCGCCCTCTCATGGAAACCTAGAAGCAACGAAAAGGTCTTCCACTACCTCCTCAGCATCGCCCTCCTAGTCGGTGCCATCACATACTTCTCCAACGCCTCCAACCTCGGCTGGTCCATCGTGACCCAGGGCACGACCTCCCGCTCGGGTGCTCCGCGACAAATCTTCTTCAACAAGTACATCAACTGGGTCGTCGCCTTCCCCATAGTCAACATCCTCCTGGGCCTCGTCGCCAACTCGTCCTGGGCCACCATCGTCTGGCACGTCTTCCTCTCCTGGGTCTGGGTCATCAGCTACCTCGTCTCGGCCTACACCCCGTCCGTCTACAAGTGGGGCTTCTTCGTCTTCGGCACCGTCGCCTACCTCGTCATGGCGGCGTCGACGTTCGCCGAGGGTAGCGTGGGCGCAAAGCGCGTGGGCACCCAGGGAGACTACTGGATCCTCGCCGGGTATTTCAACCTCCTCTGGCTTCTGTACCCGATTGCCTTTGGTGTCTCTGAGGGCGGCAACACCATTGGCGTCACGCCTCACTTCATCTTCTTTGGTGTTCTGGACGTTCTCATGATTCCCTGCGGCGCTGTTGTCCTCCTGCTGCTGTCCAGGAACTGGGACTACAACGCCTTGAACCTCTACTTCACGCAATACGGCCGCGTTCCCCAGGGTGGACACTTCCCTGAGAAGTCGGCGGCTCCTGCCCCTGCCCCAGCTGTGACCCCCGCTGTCTAAAATGTCCTTGAGCCTTAGAAACATTGTGTATGGTGTCGGACGACTGAAGCCCTCCTCTCGGGATACAGTTTATCGACGATCTGAACATGACCGGCAATTTCTGCTTGACGCCATGCCATTATCGGCCTTGAGTAGGCAGTCGACGAGGGAATCAGAAAGAGAACACGGAATACAATCATTTACACAGGAGCGCCAACGGAGTAATCCCTCATACGAGAAACACATATAATCCGGATGGCGTACGGATAGGAAACACCCTCACTCGTTTGCTTCTTTTCGCAGAGTTGGAGTACGCTGACAGAGTTTATAATGTATAATGCGGTAATAAGTTTGAGCAAAATTCATCAGCTGCTACTACTAGATGATTGGCCTGAATAATAGCGCGGTCTTGAGTGAATCCTTACTACTCTTCTCTTGATAGGTCACAGTAAAGCCAACACTTCCAGGTAGAGTCTTTTTCCAATCATTGCTAAGATGTGGTTCTTCGCCTTTGAGTTGCGTTCTCCGAGTCTCGCCTGTGGAACAGATTCCCTAGTAGACATTATCTCGACCACAGCAAGGCAAGGAGCATTTGACGTGTTTCCAAAACTTGAGAGCTTGGAAGGTCCCCGGTCACTCCCATATGCGAAGCTTTCGTGCAAGAGAATGGAAATTGGCCTGAATAGACGTACAACGAAGAAGGGATGTGGATGGTAATCTAGTTTCACTGTGTGGTGGCTCTAGAATACCGATGCCACATTGGTGAGGAGGCGTGAAAAGATAAGAATCGGTCTAGTCGGGGGTTTGAGGTATACAATCACCTCAACCTCGTCGTCCGTAACTTCGTAATCGTAGGCCCTTATAATAAATAGGCTCAGCGTTGCGCGAAAGGCGTTATATATGGCTTGACTTCTTCTAGAAGCTTTTTGTTAAGCCTCTATCGACGGCGTCACTATTCGTCTCCCTTTTATCCCCGTCGTCCTACCGTTGACGCTTCTCTCACATACTATAAAGACTAAGACTGAATGGTAGGTCGTTCTTTCAGTCAAACTATCTTCAGTTTATCTAGAACAATCTCGATTATATCACCGGTGCCGATCGTACGTCCTGTACAGAGAAGGGGCGTTTCAAATCAACCTTCGTTAATCCCCATCTCAAGCAGATCTTGAACTAAAGCTTATCGTACGAAATAGGCAGCCGTTACCACCGTCCACTAGAGCCAGGATATTACGGTAGGAATAGGATATCTAGAAGAAGGGGGCGAGACTAGATACTCGCTCGAAGCAAGGTTGAAGGCTTCCCCCCCACCTCGGGTAAGGCTCGTTTCTAGATGCTCAACTACTCGATGCCGAGAAGGATCTGAAATCGTTGTGGACAGAAAGGCGAAATGCGACTCGTTACATGCTTCATTTGATTCACCGTTGTCTCTTCCAAACACCCATGCGGTCAATCTGTTTAAAGAGATGAGCTGAAGATATGTTACGCCATATGATAGTTGTCTAGAGTTCTTGACTACGAGATTGCGATTGGCCTGACGCCCAGGTCGCAGAGTCGCATTGTTAACTACGTAGCGCATCATAGAGGCTAGATGTTATGGGAGGTAATGGATATAGTAACCTCCCTTACAGCAAATCTATGAAAACCGAAGATACAATCTGTGTATGAGCAGCACATTCACTCGGCGTCCGGCCGAGGTACTTTTGGAACAGGTCCTTCAGTTATCTCATATCGTTGGAGGCTAAGCCTCAAGCTAATCGCTCCGAAACGTGATGGACTTAACTTTGGGTATCTCATCTTTTGATTAGTATCGCTCTCGCCAATGAAGTAACTTCTCCCTGGTGAGATCTCGTTGTGTAGTGACTGGCTAAGAAGCGGATGGATCTTTTCGGTCAGGCCAATCATGATAGCTGACTGGCCGCCATGGTCGAGAATGTGAACCGCGTATCGGGATGAAGAGGAGACGATGAATCGCCATATAGTCTCACATGCCAGGAATATATCACGAGGGATACAATGACGCCCAAACCCTCCTCCGTGTCCGCTCATTCTCTCCACCCAAGGATGTCGCAGTCCATCATCATCATCATCATCAGACAAACTCCCTCTACTAGCCGTCACATCAAATCGCTTCACCTGGAACCCAGCTTTCAAGACAAGAAAGCAACTATCCGTTCGGCGTCCTCGGACGCCAGGTTTCGTCCGGCCAACCGTATCCGCATTCAAGACATACATGAGCTCATCCCCCTCCAAGACTATTCGCCCCCCCAAAAAGCAACCATCACGAACCGCACCTCGCAAAAGGCGGGACTGCCCGCCGCCTGGGCCCGCGCCCGCAAACACACATACAAAGACGAACTTCTTCCATCATCGCGTCAGGAATGTAAAAAGCAAACACCCCGATACCCCTTCCCCAGTCGCCGAATCCAATCCAGACCCCCCTCGGACTTTTCAAAATGCCCCACGTGGCAAAACCATCGTCCTCGAAGTGAGGAGAGTTCGTGGCATTTTTTCGCATCGTGCCATCTCACCGGTGCCCGCTGCAGGGAGGGGAATCGACCAGATAGACATTCCAATCAATCTCCGACATTGTTTTACTTCCAATCCTATCCCGCCATAGGTAAGCTTCAAGGCGGATCTTACAGCTATGTCGGGCACACTTCATTACAACCTTTCTTTCCCAATCCTTACGGTCTCCGGGTACACCATCTCTCTCTCGGTTACGTCTCGTTATCGTATGGCTAAAAGGTTACTTCAACCTCCTTACTCGGACCCCATGTCAAAGCGTCACGTCACCAGTAACCACCGACCAGAAGACATTTTGAGGGGGTCAAAGGGTCTCATGCGCTGGCGTCGTACGGCAAGCACGGTAAAGTCTATGAGATATGTAGTGTACCTCTCTTCACCCCCATTTAACCCTGTACGTCACTACATTTTCTCCAGCAAGAATTTGACGGCGAGTAAGTCTTCTTCAACACCAGTGAAAAGAGAGTTGGTGACAACCATGGCAGAACAAGATCGAGCTGAGGCCATTTCCCGAGCACCGTTCATAAACTCCATCATTGGTCATCTCTTAGTCGGAAAGGTTTACCAAGGTTTTGGAAAAAACTCTCTCCCCCTTTCCCTTTCCCTTTCCCATCCCCCCCTCATCTGTATCAATAAACTACAAAGAAGGTTTCTTCAAAGAATAAGCCTTGAGACGATTCCCGACGGGTAAGAAAAGAGAGACGTAGTTAAAACCACCCGAATCGGGGGAACAAAAGTGAGTGCTGGTACGCAAGGTTAACCTTCCCTCGCCTCTTCGCGCCCAAGAGGTTCGACCGACGTTTTGGGCTTCTTCCCGGCAAGAACCTAGTTGCAATTATCCCAAACAACCAACAACCTTCGCAGAGCCGCTGATGGGCCCTACCTTTCTTACCAATCAAGTGGGATACCGTGTACAAGGCAAAACTCACAATGCGCCGAATTCGCTGAGCAGCACGCGAGAACGAACCGAACGTTGGGGATGGATGGGTGGATGGATGGATGGATGATGATGACGCTACCTCGACCGCGCCTCGGTACATAGCATCTAGTATCACACCCAAAAGCGATCTCGGACGGCCAAGAGCGCGGATGCTCTAGGCAGTCACTGCTTCCCCCCACCTTCTCATCTACTGCTAGGCTCTCTCCTTGCTGTGAAGCTGGTGCTACACGATGCCGCCTCTTCTTGTATGCCATGACCCGCAGAGGAGGGCATGAAAGCCGACCGATTCCAAGACATGAACGGATTACAACGAGCTTTGAGAACAAGCTTAGGTCACCTGAAGAGATGGTTCAGGCAAGTAAACCAGGCTGAAGCATTTGTAAGCCAAGGGGTCTTTTGAGGCGGCGGCTTTCTCGCTCTTTTCAGTATCATGGTTCACGATTCCTTGGGTCCTAGGTTCTTGAGGTTCCCAGCGCCGAGTTAGCGCCGGTGTCAAGTTCAAGTGAGGCGTCGCGCGAGAGAGAGACAGACAAAGGTTTCTGGTTCTTCTGCGGCTCTCTGGGGCTTCCCTTGTATTGCATGAGGTAGGTGCGTTGTGCTTGTGTGCGTTTCTGGACGCGGGAACAGGGCAGTACATTCAAAAGAAGCGGAAAGTCAATCGTTGATCGAGAAAAGAAGAGACAACCTTGAACCTGTGGACCTTTCTTGGGGGGGGGGGGGGAGTTTCAAGGAAAAAAAGTTGGTCCAAAGAGAAACGGACGGTGCTCGGGGACGAGTCTCGGGGAACCCTTGCTTGAAGAGGCAAACGGGTTCGTGCAGCCAGCCTTCATCGACATGGCATGATGTAGTCTCTCTCACATCCACTGATTTATTTACGTCTACTTGGGTGCATTCAGGCTCGACTATGATATAGAGGAGGAGGGGGAGAGAAGGATTCAAGAAGAAATGGTGAAGACCTGCAACTACAAGCGCCGAATCTGCGAGGACATATGTATACCATTCTACGCATCCATGATGGGAAAGAAAGACAGGTCTCGTCAGCAGCGGTGGGGGCACGTGCATCATGCAATGGAGATTCGGCGAAGTATTGAGCTCAAAAGCTGGGACATTGTTTGCTTGCCCTCGCGTATGGTTTCTCAACCAGGGTGTGGGTGATTTCGCACCATGCTGTGCCACCGTGACGAGACAATCTGAGGCTTCGATGAGGCAGGACAGCCAACTCTACCCATTCTCTTTCGCTCATTATGCTGGCAAGAAAGACGAAGCTGCAAGATAGTTGGAGCTGGATAGACTGGCAGCGAGAAAACGTTGACCTGGCCTCTAGGGTAAGGTCGTCCGATGCAAACGGTGGAAGGGCAGCAGGCATCAAACATGGGAGACAACCCGACAGCTTTTTTCAGCCCATGGACTTTGGCAGTGACCCCCTCCCCTCCTTGGACTCATTTGTATCGTGTTACACGACATTGACCATCTATCTCACTGGCATCTATCTCACTGGTAAATGTTGAAGCCGAGCGAGCGGCTAGAGAGGATGGGCAATCGAGATGGCGTTGCCAGGCGATGCGGCGAGGTCAGATTTGGTATGGCCCTTGATGTGTAGTGTGCCGTTGCGTTTCTTTGGTGGGTGTCAAGTGCTCAGTCACCACCGGCACAGAAAGAGTTATCGGTTTGCGCCCGTGGTTTCGTGACTGGCCGATTCTTGCCCACACTGGAGAGGAGAGGAGCCTAGGAAGAGCCTTGGCTTCCATGTGCCTGTTGACCACACGTAGAAGAGTGCCTTACGTTGCAACGTCGTTGGTACTAACCCCGCCCAGCACAGTATGACAGGCTGACAAGCGTGCCTCGCAGCTCGAACGGGAGAAGCCAGCCTTGCGTTGTCGCCTGAGAGAGAAAATGGGGACCATCTTCATGGAGGAAGGCGTTGTCGGCTGTGCCGCTGGCTGCCTGTCCTTGACTCGCGGTTCGCAAATTGCCGCGCAATCATTCTAGTGTTTGCTGCCCTCAGCCTGCCAGGATGGCGAGTGAAATCGAGGGAAGACTTGCTGATGTTTGCCACGTAGGGAATCGTTGTCGAAATTCCCAAGGCCGTTGGTTTGGTTCCTCCTTCCCGTGGGCGGCGAGACCCCTTTCCACGGGAGCGTATCCAGTCATGGCAGTGAAAAGGGTCGCGTGGCGTCCCTGTTGGTTACTTTGATGACAGGTTTGCTTGATTGGCGTCTGAGCGGACCGCAGATGTATGGACGTGACCAGAACGGCATATTGGGCCCGGCCAGGTAGGTAGGTAGGTAAGGTAGGTTAGTCAATATCCGAGGGTTAATGTGAGAACGAACGGGTTTCTGGGGAGTTTGAGTTCAGATGCCACCTGGGCGATGCCGAAGCTAGTATGACCGTTGTGACATGATGCAGTAGTCGGCTGCGAGCTACTTTAGATGGTTCTTTTCTAACAAAAGATATCGCGAGAATTTGAAGTTGATGGCTGTCAAATGATCAATGGAAACACCCCTGTGATAGTCGACGATACAACGTCGAATCACGTTTAACGATTTAGGGTCGGCCGCCGGAAGCGGGCCGGAAAGACTTTGTACTGTACATACAGGTTCCACGGGAGAATTGTGAATCGGACCATGGAGTGGGTCTAGATTGGCCCTCGCTTAAGTGGGGTGGGAATGAAGGAGGGTTGCAAGGGGAGGGACGCAGGTACAGTGTCGGCACTGTCCTCCCGACTGGACAGTGGGCGGCCACTCACGTCGCAGTGTATCACTTCCATCTGTGAGGTGAGGGCAGAGGAATCTCAGATTGAACCGGGCACAAGGCAGGAAACAGCATTGGGAGAGGGAAAGTGGGACCTTAAGAGGGGTCATAATTGGCCATGAGATGAGAATGACGAGGACTGTGGGCAGGCATTGACAGGTGGAGTCAGGTGGACAGGGAGACATCAGACACTGAGCCAAGGGTCGAGGACACAGAAGGCATGCACACGGAGGTCAAGGACAAGGGCAGGAGGGAATGAGATGAGTGAGACTGCGTGCTCCGTCAGAGGTTACTTCCAGTCTGCCACTGGTGCTTTGTCAAGTCAGTCTGGCGCGGTCCCGCGGGCGGAATCATTGCCCGCTGTTGCAGTGACAGAGTGGCTCAGTGGGCTCTCCAGGTTCTCCCAGACGGGAGGTCGTGCTCGCAGTGGGCTCAGAAAACCCATCGCCCGCAACCCGCGGTCGGCTATAGTCAATACTGTGTATCCGTAGGGAAGAGAGACGCTCAGGCCGCCGGGTGAGCGACGATTCCCGTAAAGGCGACTCCATTGTGCCAGTCTCGATTCTGAAATGGCCCATCGTCGCCATCCCGGACAGATGGGAAAAAACAATGGGGATGGCAACGATATTCCAGGGAGTTTTGCAGGCTCGAGCCAACGCAGCCAACAACGACCAACGCAGGGCTCCCAAGGCCATGACCAGCACCCGCACCCACTGGAGTCTCTACCGGGGATCAACGGACCGCTGCTGCCCCGTCTTCCCCTTGAGTTCCTCTCACTCTCGTTCCCAGAACCTCAACCGGGGCTTGAGGCTTCAGCCAGGTCCAGGGCTGCTTGAGCGGCGTTCCTTCCGCACACTCTGATAGGCAGGTCTTCACCCATTCACTCACTCACTCACTCGCTCTCACTCCCCCACTCATCAACCACTCTCATCCCCGAGCTTCACTCACCCACTCATCCACTCAAAAGTCTCAGGTCCAGACTCAAGACTCCAGACTCAGACTCACCTCAGACTCAAAC